TAACTTTGACTTTTCATCCGGCGCCATCATCAGGTCAGCAATACTCATCCTGAACTGGACTCTGTGTTTACTGATTGTTAGCTTACAGTGGCATGCAGCAGTTTGGGTCACCCGGTCAAACTTTCTTTTATTGTAAGTAGTTCAGTGAGTAGAAGATGAGCTGATCTCCCAAAGACAGAAATTTAAAGATGAAACATGATTTTCAACATTTTCAGCAGGATCAGTACATTCATTTTGTTTTTTACAATTTTAAAGTGAAAAAAAAAAAATGAAAGGAGCACCGTCAACACCTCGAGACATTTGATGTGTGAGACAGCTGTCCCCAGGGTCTCTTGTTGACAGTCATGGTTAGGAAAGACCAGGTGACTCCTTGTAGCATAGTCATCATCAGTCCAGGCACACAGAGCTGCTGGTGTGTCTGCAGGCTGTCATGGTGGACTGGAGCATCTCCCAGCATGCACTGGGGCTCTGGGTGAAAGTCAGAAAACACAACAACAAACTCAGACTCTTTGACGTGTTGTGAAGACAAACTGAAGGAATGTTTCCCAACATGAAAGAGCTTTCTGTCACAACATCATCTTTATCATGTGACCTGAACACAATGCTGTCACCCTACGGGCCGAGCCCACGGCCTCTATCTATTGTTATTGTATGTGTGTGTGTGTGTGTGTGTGTGTGTGTGTGTGGTTCTGACTCTGATTCTGGTCCTGGTTGTGGAGGACTGTGTCGGTTTCTCAGATGGACATGAAGTCAGTCTCTGCTCTGGTTGTGATCAAATATTTGAACAGTTTGTTGTTGGACAGACTGAAGGCTGATCTCAGTGAGTACTCACCTGTTTCTGATCTACCTGACGTGTTTGTTTACCTGCTGGACGAACTGGTAGAGACACGCCCACAGGTGGAGTCTAACTACTTACAGAGTACTTTCTGTTTAAATCCAATCAATCTCAGAGGAAAGTCTTGTACATTTTTACTGTTCTACATTCATCCTGTCCACTGAAAACCATGTATCTCCATATGAGTTGGATGTTTGTGATAAACTGAAGGATGAAGTCTTCCTTTATGTGTTGATGTTTGTGATAAACTGAAGGATGAAGTCTTCCTTTATGTGTTGATGTTTGTGATAAACTGAAGGATGAAGTCTTCCTTTATGTGTTGATGTTTGTGATAAACTGAAGGATGAAGTCTTCCTTTATGTGTTGATGTTTGTGATAAACTGAAGGATGAAGTCTTCCTTTATGTGTTGATGTTTGTGATAAACTGAAGGATGAAGTCTTCCTTTATGTGTTGATGTTTGTGATAAACTGAAGGATGAAGTCTTCCTTTATGTGTTGATGTTTGTGATAAACTGAAGGATGAAGTCTTCCTTTATGTGTTGATGTTTGTGATAAACTGAAGGATGAAGTCTTCCTTTATGTGTTGATGTTTGTGATAAACTGAAGGATGAAGTCTTCCTTTATGTGTTGATGTTTGTGATAAACTGAAGGATGAAGTCTTCCTTTATGTGTTGATGTTTGTGATAAACTGAAGGATGAAGTCTTCCTTTATGTGTTGATGTTTGTGATAAACTGAAGGATGAAGTCTTCCTTTATGTGTTGATGTTTGTGATAAACTGAAGGATGAAGTCTTCCTTTATGTGTTGATGTTTGTGATAAACTGAAGGATGAAGTCTTCCTTTATGTGTTGATGTTTGTGATAAACTGAAGGATGAAGTCTTCCTTTATGTGTTGATGTTTGTGATAAACTGAAGGATGAAGTCTTCCTTTATGTGTTGATGTTTGTGATAAACTGAAGGATGAAGTCTTCCTTTATGTGTTGATGTTTGTGATAAACTGAAGGATGAAGTCTTCCTTTATGTGTTGATGTTTGTGATAAACTGAAGGATGAAGTCTTCCTTTATGTGTTGATGTTTGTGATAAACTGAAGGATGAAGTCTTCCTTTATGTGTTGATGTTTGTGATAAACTGAAGGATGAAGTCTTCCTTTATGTGTTGATGTTTGTGATAAACTGAAGGATGAAGTCTTCCTTTATGTGTTGATGTTTGTGATAAACTGAAGGATGAAGTCTTCCTTTATGTGTTGATGTTTGTGATAAACTGAAGGATGAAGTCTTCCTTTATGTGTTGATGTTTGTGATAAACTGAAGGATGAAGTCTTCCTTTATGTGTTGATGTTTGTGATAAACTGAAGGATGAAGTCTTCCTTTATGTGTTGATGTTTGTGATAAACTGAAGGATGAAGTCTTCCTTTATGTGTTGATGTTTGTGATAAACTGAAGGATGAAGTCTTCCTTTATGTGTTGATGTTTGTGATAAACTGAAGGATGAAGTCTTCCTTTATGTGTTGATGTTTGTGATAAACTGAAGGATGAAGTCTTCCTTTATGTGTTGATGTTTGTGATAAACTGAAGGATGAAGTGTTCCTTTATGTGTTGATGTTTGTGATAAACTGAAGGATGAAGTCTTCCTTTATGTGTTGGATGTTTTGTGATAAACTGACAAAGTGATGGTATTTGATGTGTTTGAGTTGAGAATGTTCTGGTTCACACTGTGATTCACGGCAGGATGTTGAAGCTTGGTTCACCACATTTCATTTACATTTACTGGTTTATTTCGCGGGACAGTGCATATTAATGAACAGTACATACATGATGTAATGTAAATATGCCGGAGTTAGCATGCATGCTAAATTTCATCCGCAGTCCCAAAACAATAAACATAAAAACACGGTCAGCACATTACAATACAAAAGACCAATGTGAAACAGTGTACATGTACAAACATGCATAAATCCCTACAAGTTCATGTACACATACACACACATATAAATAACAACACATATACAAAAGACAAGCCAGGTAGAGGGCGCCGGTCAGCTGACTCTGAGTGCTGGAACATGATTGGCTGCTTGTGTTGATGTTTCCAGGAAACAAAGAAAAGATGTGAAAACGTCCTCTTTCAGAGAAAATCTAATGTTCACAGAAACCTGAGACTCACCTGCTGATTACTGCACCTGTGTATGTGTGTGTGTGTGTGTGTGTGTGTGTGTGTGTGTGTGAGAGAGAGAGAGAGAGAGAGAGAGAGAAAGCTGATTGGATAATTCAGACAATCTCATCTTACAGATTCTTCACTGAAGTTCAGTCAAGCCTGAAACTCAGTTAGACTGCAGAAAGTTCCCATGAGACCACAGAGACTCTGTGTGTGTGTGTGTGTGTGTGTGTGTGTGTGTGTGTGTGTGTGTGTGTGTCAGGTTTTAACCTCTGACCTCTAACTCCATCCCACCCTCATGCTCTGCCCCCTCAGGTCACCGGCTGGACGATGTTCCTGCGGTGCGGCGTCACCTGGTGAGGCGGAGCTCCAGAGGGCCGATTGTCCACGTCACCAAAGATCAGATCAGCGGTCGAACACAGCCACACCTGCAGCACCTGCAGCACCTGCAGCACCTGCAGCCGGACCGCACCCCTCATGAGGTGCTCACACATGCTGACGGTTCAACAATTCACAGTGTTTAGACGTCAGTTTAACTCAGAGGTGTTCAGTGTTACAGCAGCAGCCCACTGAGCGGAGCATGACGTCATGCTCAATGTTACATGTAACATGTTGTCAACTGGTGACAAACTGGACTTAATGAGAGAGACAGAGTCAGACAGGTAGAGTCAGACAGGTAGAGTCAGACAGGTAGATTCAGACAGGTAGATTCAGACAGGAAGATTCAGACAGGTAGATTCAGACAGGTAGAGTCAGACAGGTAGAGTCAGACAGGTAGAGTCAGACAGGTAGAGTCAGACAGGTAGAGTCAGACAGGTAGAGTCAGACAGGTAGAGTCAGACAGGTAGAGTCAGACAGGTAGAGTCAGACAGGTAGAGTCAGACAGGTAGAGTCAGACAGGTAGAGTCAGACAGGTAGAGTCAGACAGGTAGAGTCAGACAGGTAGAGTCAGACAGGTAGAGTCAGACAGGTAGAGTCAGACAGGTAGAGTCAGACAGGTAGAGTCAGACAGGTAGAGTCAGACAGGTAGAGTCAGACAGGTAGAGTCAGACAGGTAGAGTCAGACAGGTAGAGTCAGACAGGTAGAGTCAGACAGGTAGAGTCAGACAGGTAGAGTCAGACAGGTAGAGTCAGACAGGTAGAGTCAGACAGGTAGAGTCAGACAGGTAGAGTCAGACAGGTAGAGTCAGACAGGTAGAGTCAGACAGGTAGAGTCAGACAGGTAGAGTCAGACAGGTAGAGTCAGACAGGTAGAGTCAGACAGGTAGAGTCAGACAGGTAGAGTCAGACAGGTAGAGTCAGACAGGTAGAGTCAGACAGGTAGAGTCAGACAGGTAGAGTCAGACAGGTAGAGTCAGACAGGTAGAGTCAGACAGGTAGAGTCAGACAGGTAGAGTCAGACAGGTAGAGTCAGACAGGTAGAGTCAGACAGGTAGAGTCAGACAGGTAGAGTCAGACAGGTAGAGTCAGACAGGTAGAGTCAGACAGGTAGAGTCAGACAGGTAGAGTCAGACAGGTAGAGTCAGACAGGTAGAGTCAGACAGGTAGAGTCAGACAGGTAGAGTCAGACAGGTAGAGTCAGACAGGTAGAGTCAGACAGGTAGAGTCAGACAGGTAGAGTCAGACAGGTAGAGTCAGACAGGTAGAGTCAGACAGGTAGAGTCAGACAGGTAGAGTCAGACAGGTAGAGTCAGACAGGTAGAGTCAGACAGGTAGAGTCAGACAGGTAGAGTCAGACAGGTAGAGTCAGACAGGTAGAGTCAGACAGGTAGAGTCAGACAGGTAGAGTCAGACAGGTAGAGTCAGACAGGTAGAGTCAGACAGGTAGAGTCAGACAGGTAGAGTCAGACAGGTAGATTCAGACAGGTAGATTCAGACAGGTAGAGTCAGACAGGTAGATTCAGACAGGTAGATTCAGACAGGTAGAGTCAGACAGGTAGATTCAGACAGGTAGATTCAGACAGGTAGAGTCAGACAGGTAGAGGGAGGTAACCTCAGAGGTGAGAGTCTCTGGGGGCTCAGTTAGTTGTGGTCTCCAGGATGGTGGGTTTGGACCTGAGGAGTGGACACAGTAAGGTACACACAGATTCGTCCTGCTTCAGTCTGGGTTTGTTTTTCTTTACTCAGTTTAATTTTGTCTTGTTTCCACGTTCAGCCCAGTTGGTTCTGGTTAAACCAAATCACTCAGTTTAATTTCTGACAGTTCATCCTGAAATCTGTATTTTCATTTTAATTATTTTTGTCAGATTGAGAGAAGCGTACGTGTGCTCGGCCTGGTTTCACCTCTGGGTCGACCTCAGTCTGGTTCGGTCCTGTTTTATGGCACTGTGGGATTCAGCCTGATTGAATTTGTCTGTGAGGTTTCATGTTGAGGTTCAGTATGAACGGAGCTCGGTGTGGGAGCTGGGTTTGTTGGATCTGTGACAGAAAGAAAAACAGAATGAAAACTGGATCATTGTATTTTGACTTTACCTCAGTTAGAACTGGTTAATGTGACCTGGTTCTGTCTTTGTTAATCTGGATTGAGCCTGACGTGGACGTGGTTCATGTGTCTACTCAGTGTGTGTTTGTCTCAGTGTGAGGACGCTCTGGTCTCTGTAGGTTTAAAGGTTTGTTGGTCAGACCCCCTTTTAAATTTTGGACAGTATGGCCACTTTCACAGGGGTCCCTTGACCTCTGACCTCAAGATATGTGAATGAAAACAGGTTCAGAATCAGAAAAACTTTATTGATCACTGAAGGGAAACTGTGATTCATTACAGTCACTGTGATGTAAAGAACAGAGAATTATAAGAATAAGAGTATGAGATAGAACTATGTAAGTATAAATTAAAAAAAAACAGAAATATAAATGTGCTAAAGTTAATACTTCAGATATTAAAGAATAAAATACATGTTTTCACTGTGCTGAGTCTGTAAGTGTCAGGGGGCAAAAATACAAACAAACAACCCTGACAAAGACCTTAGGGTTGAATCCAGTCGGTGTTTTAATGTAAGGAGCCATGTTTTGGAATAAAGGCTGTTTAACTTAAATGAAATGCATCTGTTCCTGCTCCACGCATTAGTGTCTGAACTTTATTTTTCTTCCCATGTGCTGACCCTTTTCTTCAAGAGCACCTGCGTTTTTTTTTTGAGTATCATATGATAAAGACGGTCCTCGAGCACATGACTATCTCCTTCTCCAACTTAACTGGTCAGGAACATGTCCGTCACTGACTTCCATCATAATGTTCTCAGCCTCTGTGCACTGTTAGACTTTAAAAATTCAAACAGGCGTCTGACCAAACACAATATTTATTACAGATTTATGACTAGAAAACTCAACACACAGCTCTGAGCTGAATCTCCAATTAATCTTCAGGTTCTGAACTTTCAGATGATGTAAAGCACGTCTGCGTGTTATCTTCTGTCGACCTGCTGTTCCCCCTTAAAAGACAGAAATACGTCTGTGTGGGTCTCGAAGGGTTAAAATTAATTTGGTCCACTCGCTCAGCAGCAACAGAGAGAAATGTTAGAATAACTTTAAATATATAAAAAATATAAATATAGAACAAGAGTTAACTTTATTAAAATGCAAATATATGAGTGCTCTGAGTAAAGATAAGTGCTGAGGAATCTGAGCTGTGGTGGTGATGGTAAAGGTTGTGGAAAGTGTCCTGGGAATGAAGTGAGTCGTTACATGTCCCCATAAGTGACAGAAACGAGTTTGTGTGTGTGTCCAGGTGTTTGTGGAGCTGAACGAGCTGGTGATCGACAGGAACCAGGAGCTGCAGTGGAGGGAGACGGCTCGTTGGATCAAGTTTGAGGAGGAGGTGGAGGAGGAGACGGAGCGCTGGGGGAGACCTCACGTCGCCTCCCTGTCCTTCCGCTCCCTGCTGGAGCTCCGAAAAACCATCTCCCACGGTAAGGAGGCTCTCTGCTGCCCCCGGTGAACAAACACTTACACTGCACACAACCACAGGTTAAACTCCCCTTAAAAATCCCATTAATTCACCTTTAATTTCCCCTTAAAACACACAGGCATCTTTATCTAAATCAGTGTCTGTGTGGTCAAAACTCTTTCATTTTGTTTTAATTTGAAAATCTAATTCCCTTAAAAACATCTTAATTTGAGAAGTCTTTAATCAACAGATTTTAAGGATTTAATGACTTTCCAAATGAATGTGAAATATTTGACAGCAATCAATGAATGGTGAGTTAAAGGCACGCTAAGCACCGTTGGGTGTCACTTCTGTTTACGTTCAACAATGTTATCAAACACAACAGAGCTAGAGCTAAAGTTGTTTGGAAAAACCTCATTTGAACTCTGACTGCCTCTCTGGGCACCACCTTCATGTGTGTGTGCTCGCTTTCACTGGTCTGGCGCTGGCTGGTTGGTGCAGCCTGGACCCAGATGTTTTTGTTGCCATGTGCGGAGCCTGGGCTGCCTACAGAGACCAGACTTTTTCACAGCATATTCAGAGGACATGTAGCTAGCGGATCGTGAGGAGATGTTTGCTGTATGTGACAAAACTTTTCAAGCTTAGGAAGACTTAGAGAGCCTTTAAGATATTTTTAAGGTTCAGGGATTTTAGTTTCAATATTTTTGAGATGTTAATTATAAGATTTTATTTTAATTCTTATTCAATATTTTAACAGGGTAACTTGATTTAGGACTGATTCATGGAAACATTCATGGACTGAAGTATATTAAGGACAGGAGTGACTAACATGCCTTAATCTATACCTAAATGGCCATAATTTGTCTATTTAAGGTGTAAATTCAGGGGTCCGCCCTGAGTTAAAGGTTAATCAGTGGATGAAGTATTGGATTATAGCACATTGGTTTTTGAATGATTATTGTCACAGTTTAAGGGTTTTCTCATAGGGGGAAAAATCCTTAATGTTTATCTAGTAACATGACAACCATCTCTGGGTTTTCACCTTAACTGAAGAATGAACAATGTTTTTAAGGGAAAAATTAAGGGATGCTTTCATGTTGGGTTTCTCTCCCATATGTTACAATTCACTCATTCATCTGACTGGAAGGATCCACTGGAGACAACAGAGGAGGTTTTGTAAGTTAAGGGAAAAGTCCTGTATCCTCAGACGTCTGCATGATGGACGTCCTGTAAACCAGTGGACTGATGTGGTCTGGATGTTGTCTTTAATCATCTGCAGAATATCGAGGGCAGTGTAGAGATATGTTACAGAGAACAGTGTAGAGTGTAGTCAGCATACAGTGAAAAACAGCAATCAAAAATACAACTGGTCCTCAAACTGACCCTTGAGGCACACCGTTCTTTACATGAGAAAATGATTATGTAAGTGTGTGATGTCATGGTGTTGTGTTTTCAGGGGCAGTGCTCCTGGATCTGAAGCAGAGGACTCTGCCAGGAATCGCTCAGCAGGTGGTGGAGCAGATGGTGATCTCAGATCAGATCAAAGCTGAAGACCGAGCTAACGTCCTCCGAGCTCTGCTGCTCAAACACAGGTTTATGTCCATGATCCATCCATCCATCCATCCATTCATCCATCCATCCATCCATCCAATGACTCATCCATTTGGTGATTCATTATCCACTGATTCATCCATTTAATGATTTATCCATCCAGTGATTCATACATTCACTCAGTAATCTAGCCATCCATCTAATGATTCATTCTTCCATCTAATGATTCATCCATTCAATGATTCATCCATCCAGTGATTCATTTATCCACCTGATGATTCATCCGTCCATCCAGTTATTTAATAATCCACCCGATCATTCATCCATTCACTGCAGCTCACAAAAGCGACAGGAACATTTCTTTCATTAATATAGTTTTGTTTGTTTGTTTATCAGTCACCCCAGCGATGAGAAAGATCACAGCTTGTTCAGCAAGAACATCTCTGCAGCCAACATGGCTGCCCTGATGGACAAACACAATGGCCAATCAGAGCCCTCCGTCATTCAGACCAATCACAAAGAGGCTGACGGAGAGAAGAACAAGGTACAAAGAAACCTGTCGCCTGTTAAAGTCTGAGAACAATCTGAAGTTCATGTCATTTTCATTTAGATTTAATGCCACCAGACTCTGAGTGCGTCCTTCAACCAAACATTATAAATGAGCTACAAGCTTTCAGGGTTAAGTGACTAACTAACACGTCATCCCTTAATTTATCCCTTTACCTCAAATTTTAAATCCGGTCCCAGACTGTTTCCATAAATTTGTCCCAAATCTGGTAAAGCTGTTAAATGTCTGAATTCTGAATAGAAATTAAAATCCCCAAACTCTGAACCTTAAAAACACCTTAAACTTATCACTCATGGATTCGTTAAGTATTTCACATTCATGTGGAAACTAAGGGGGAAATCATAAAGCCCTTAAAATCTGCTTTGTGTATTCATTAAGGGCTTTTCAAAAGAAGGTGTTTGTTGTGTGTTTTGGGGGTAAATTAAAGATTAATGTAGGTGTTTGAAAGGGATTTTTGTTTCATTGTGCAGGTTGGCACCACCACATTATTGTCAGTGGTGATTGATGAGGCATCCTCCTCCTCACACCTGCTCAGTCTTGTCCAGGTGGAGCTCTGGGTAGTGCCTCTACACCCATTGTGAGACACCTGTCAGACAAACACTATGTAAGAACAGCAGAGTGTCGTCAGTGTAGCAGTATGGGAGGAGAAGTCATGTGAGTGTCAGGACGTCCATTAATCTGATGTGTGTACTTGTGTTCAGAAAGACGCCCCGCCCATCGGTCACTCCAGATCCAAACATGAAGTGAAGCTGATGGAGAAGATTCCCGAGAGAGCCGAGGCCACCGTCGTCCTCGTGGGTACGCGTCACATCATCACCTTCATCCCTGTGTCAGTCTGTAGTTTGTGAGCTTCAGTGGGTTCATTGTGTCCCTCTGCTGTGTCTGCAGGCAGCGTGGACTTCCTGGAGCAGCCTTCCATGGCGTTTGTGCGGCTGCAGGAGGCGGTCCTGCTGGAGTCCGTCCTGGAGGTTCCTGTCCCAGTTAGGTTCCTCTTTCTCCTGCTGGGCCCGCCTACAGCCAACATCGACTACCACCAGATCGGACGCTCAATCTCCACGCTGATGTCAGACAAGGTGAGTCCCTCAAGTGTTAAAACTGTGTGTCTCTGTTTGGATACGACCACCAGAGGGCGCCACACAATAGCTCATCTCTACCTTCGTCTGCTTCCTCAGCACTTCCACGAGGCGGCATACCAGGCTGACGACCGCCAGGACCTGCTGACAGCCATCAACCGGTTTTTGGACTGTAGTATCGTCATCCCTCCCTCCGACGTCGGCGGTGATGAACTGCTCCACTCAGTCGCTCGCTTCCAACGAGAAATGCTGCGAAAGAGGGAGGAGCAGAGCGGCAAACTGCAGGAGAAACAGCCCAGCATTCAGCAGGATGAAGGTCAGTTAGGCGATCCTTTTTAATCGGTACTCCTTTGGTATCGATGATATTTTGTTGCAAAGTTTGTTTTTGGGTTTTTTAGCTTTTATGAGATGAGAGACAGAGAATCGTTAGCAGGAAATGAGAGAGATCAGAGATGACATCTGATAAATGAACTAAATCGAGGTTATATGAACAGCATCTCAACCACCAGGAAACGCTACCATACAGGAAAGTGTCCACTTTAACGTCTTAAATTTGTCCAAAAATTATTGCTTGCATCTTTATGAGTTGAGAGTTTAACACTAAGCTGTTTACTGTCAAACACTGCCTGGGAGGAGGTTCAAACTCTGCGTATTTTGGGGTTTTTCTCCATTTTTACTAACATACCTTTCTATCAGTGCTCTCAGCTGAGTATGTCATCCAGTGTCCCAGTCATAGTCTCTGAGCCTCTGTGTGTTGCTGAATCAACATTGTAACTGTATCCTGACTTCTTACCTGCTTTTGTTGCTGTAAATGCAGCTGTATATATCCTGACCTTTCCTTAAATAGTACCTGCTTATGCTACTGCAAACAGGGCAGAAAATGTCCCAGATTCTTGTTAAAAAATATCTGCTTTTGTTGCTGCTGCTCTTTTGTCACAATTAGAAATTTCCTGACATGTTGGTAAAAAATACCAGCATGGTTGCTTCAAATGTGGCTGTCCCAAAGTCTTGTTTTAAAAAAAAATGTCTGAGCTCTTTAAAATATGCCTACTTGGTTGCAACAACCACAACTGGAAATGTCCCAGATTTTTTAGGTTAAAAAAAAATACCCACTTTATTTCTAAAACCATGGCTGGAGATATCTGTCTCTTGTTAAAAAAAATCTGCTTTTGTCACTACAAATATGGCTGGAAACATCCCAAAGGCTTGTTAAAAACACCTGTTTTTGTTGCTACAAACACAATTGGAAATATCCCAATTTGCTGGTAAAAATACCTGCTTGGTTGCGCCAAACGTGGCTGGAAATGTCCGAAAGTCTTGTTTAAAAAATGGAAATGTATGAGCTTTTTAAAATACCTGCTTTTGTCACTACAAACACAGCTAGAAATGTCCCGACATGTCATTACAAAAGTACCTGCTCTTGTTGCTGCCAAGTTTGAGCTTTCCCATGATGCCATTCTTTGAAACCATTATGTAACAGACTTTAGAGCAACATTTAGTCAGGGTAAAAGTAGAATAAAGACTCAAAGAGGGCCTTTTGGCAGAAGCTCGGTTTGAAGCTTACATCTAGTGGAAGACTTCGTCTTCTTAGGAAGGTAAATCAGCATGTCATCAGCAGAACACTGAATGTTTCTCTCATGTTTTGTAAATTAAAATCTAGGTGTGGTATCCAGAGTCCATATGCTGATGTTCTGATGTCATGGTGTGATGTCAGCTCTTCATCAGACAGTAACAGAGCTCTGTTCTTATCTACCAGACTCCCTCGTTCCCTCCAAACCAGGTGAAGAGCCTCTGAGGCGCACAGGGCGTCTCTTTGGAGGTCTGATCAAAGACGTGACTCGGCGCTACCCCCAGTACCTCAGCGACATCCGAGATGCTCTGAACCCTCAGTGCATGGCAGCCATCATCTTCATCTACTTTGCTGCACTGTCGCCTGCCATCACCTTTGGTGGTCTTCTGGGTGAGTCTGATGGGAACAAACTACCTGATGAGGTTTGGCTGATGTTTCAAATCACTGCAAGCTGACTGATCCAGAGGGTTCCTGGATCCTCAGACTCTTCTTCAATCATTACATCTATGGCGATGTTCTCTTCTCCTGTGACACAGGTGAGAAGACAGAGGGTCTGATTGGTGTGTCTGAGCTGATAGTTGCCACAGCGATGCAGGGCATAATATTCAGTGTGCTAGGCGCTCAGCCTCTGCTGGTGATCGGATTCTCTGGACCACTGCTGGTGTTTGAAGAGGCCTTCTACACTGTAAGCTCACCTGAGAGAGAACCTACACACCTGTATCAGCCAAGACACAATTAACAGCAACATGTCTGTTTAGAAAGAGAGTCCCTGTTACTCTGGTAAATCTACTGAACACACCAGAGAACCATTTTCTGTGTTCTGTGTTTCTGTGTTCTCTATTCATTATCCCCTAATCTTATTTCAACAGCACCATCTCCATTACTGTGGTATCTCTGCCTCCTCGTCTTAAACCCTGTGAAAGATATGTGGTGTTCCTCAGGGTTCTATCTTCGGTCCTCTTTTGTTTGCCTTGTACATGTTTCCCCTTTAACACATGAGTATTTAGTAAGTATTTATAATATTTATAGTATTTATAATATTTATAACATACAGCTCCTCCAGGATGTTGCAAATTCAGCCAGTGCCTGTGAATTCTGCGTGACTTTGCAATTTTATCCAACCACTGCATCTTTACCACAAATTTATTATAAAAACAGGTAAAATCTTATTTTATCGTAAAGCTGTGTGCAGCGCATTGATTCACTCAGCCAGTCTGTTTATCAGGAGGCTGCTGCTGCAGAACAGGAGCTCTACACCTGGGACAGAGTCACACACACAGTGACAGAGCTAACTGTTAGCATCACACAGCTAATGGTTATTACAGAGTTTAACAACAAAGTCCGTTGTGATGTTGGTGTGAGTTTGTTGGGACTGGTTACTCAGGACTCGGTGTTGGATGTTTAGCAGCTGCTGTTGTGTTAGCTTGTGCTAACTGGGCAGAGAGAGCAGAGGGAGTGGCTCAGGGAAACGATCCTTCAGCTGATTGCTGGTGATGCCCCTTTCCCCCACCTGCCCACCCCCAACCATCACAAATTGATCTCATAATAAAAGGTTCTGAATTTGACACAGTGTAACAACTATTTTGCAGTTTCCACTGTCCCTGCAATTTCATTGTGAGAAAACTATAAGCATTCACAACATGCATTGCAATTTTTTAGAAAAGCTGCTGTGAAATCAGACATTTCAGGCTGCAACAGCCTCCCAAACAGCCTGTGAAGTCCTGGAGGGGCTAAATGTAAGTGTCTGAAGGTTCATTCTTGACTTATAGCGTTTGATGAAAACAGTTCTGATGAAAACAAGGTTCATTCCCTCTTCTCTCTTATTACCTGTAAGTGGTCCAGAGTGCTGCTGCAAAGCAAAGTCTCCTGTTAGTTAACCTATCACCTGAAACCTACCTGGTGTGTGTCTGTGTGTAGTTTTGTAAAGATAATGGGGTGGAGTATCTGACGGGTCGGCTGTGGATCGGTTTCTGGCTGGTGCTCATTGTTCTCCTCACCGTGGCCTTCGAGGGAAGCATCTTGGTTCGCTTTGTCTCCCGTTTTACTCAGGAGATCTTCTCCTTCCTCATCTCCCTCATTTTCATCTACGAGACCTTCGCCAAACTGATCAAGGTGAGGACAGAGGTCATGAAGCATCTGTGATGTTTTAATGAATGACAGGTTGATTTTTGAACCCCAGAGTTTGGTTGAATTTCCTTCACCCTGGAAATTCAACAAATGCCTCGAGAACATTAAAAACGTATCAACAAACATCAACAGAGCTTCTCTGACTTTTTCTTCTTTGTGTTGGTCTTTTCCAGATCTTTCAGGAGCATCCTCTCCAAAACTGTTACCATGGAAACAACACAGTGTCTCGACCTCTGTGCAACTTCACTGTAGCTGCTGGGAATACTGGGAAGGTTATTGGAGAACCAAACACAGCACTGCTGTCCTTTGTTCTCATGATGGGAACGTATTTCATCGCTTTCTACCTACGCAAGTTCAAGAACAGCTCCTTCTTCCCCGGCAGGGTCAGTAAACACAAGAACATGTATGGGTACAGGTACAGATACAGGTAGAGATACAGATACATAATGTTATGTTTGATGCACCTTGAGGAGACATTTTTGGGTCCAAAGTCCAATCCCAGTTCTCCCCCTTGGCCTTACACCTGTAGTTTCGAGTGCCCTCAACTGAGTAGCAGCCCTTCAGAATGGCGTCTGCAGGTTCAAACCAAATCACTGATCAATAAGCTGATGCTCTGTGTGTTTCAGCTCCGTAGGATCATTGGAGACTTTGGAGTCCCCATTGCCATCCTCATCATGGTGCTTGTGGACTACAGTGTGGAGGACACCTACACCCAGGTCAGATTTTATTAACTCACAGTGAGTCCTGTGGTGACATGACACACTGTGACAGACTCACAGTTAAATTCCTCTCTTCCTATTGGCTGACAGAAACTGAGCGTACCCAGCGGATTCTCAGTGTCCACTCCGGAGAAGCGTGGTTGGTTGATTTCTCCTCTGGGGTCGGACGGGCAGTTTCCTGTTTGGATGATGGCCGCCAGCATCCTGCCAGCCATCCTCGTCTTCATCCTCATCTTCATGGAGTCCCAGATCACAGCGTACAACACGTTCTTCCTCTCTTTCTGTTTGTTCTGTGGTTTTGTGATTCCTGTCCGAAGGCACTGACCTAAAATCATAATTATAATAACTTTATTCATGTAGCACCAAAGTTTGTTGCTATAATCAAGTCTGGAGGAGATAAAAGCATGACTGGCAGGAAATTTTCGAGTGTCCAGTTCTTCATTTCAGTTAAGCAGGACATAAAAAACATTTGTGGTTCCAGGCTTTAACAGGACATAAAGCTGTGTATCATTGTGTAATAGTATAAATCTTTACTGTGTTTCCCATAATTTACCCCAGGGGTAGCATGGATATAGTAAATAGGAGGGGACCCAAGATAGACCCCTGGGGAACGCCACAGAAGAGAGGCACATGAGAGGAGCAGGTATCTCCAAGCACGACAGAGAGGGACCTGTATGACTGACAGGACACAGATGAACCAATCCAGAGCCACATCACTGATACCAACAACGTTTGTCAGGCGGCTGATGAAGACATGTGGTGTCAATGGCTGAGCTGAGGTCACAGAGTATGAAAATGGAGAACAGGCCTGACGCCTGGTTTCCACTTACGTATGTGACTGGTACGGATGGTGCCTCTAGTGTGCAACACAAGGAAGTGCATTTCAATATGGATGGATAGAAACACCTATAGCCATGGGGGGAGGGGCTGATTTTGTCTGATTTTCACCATGCAGTTGTTTGGGATATGAGCTTTGAACATTACTGGGACTAAAACAGGACCAATATTTTTTTTAACATTCCTCAGATTCACAGAGCATTCAAATGAGGTAAACAAGTTTCTTTACAATCAGACAAACTCACGATCAACAGGATGATGATCTTAAGGAAACAGCCCGTCAGCCAGTTAGCAGCCTGTTAGCTGGATTTTACAGGGATTTTTTTATTTCCCCTGTTAAAGGTTTTTTTTTTGGGGGGGAGTTTTTCCTGATCAGCTGTGAGGAATGTCATTGGCTGTAAAGCCTCTGAGGCAAATTGTGATTTGCGATATTGGGATTTATAAATAAAATTGAATTGAACTGAATTAGCTAAGCTAGCACATAGTCATAAGGTCTCTCCAAAATCCACAGCAAAAGTCATTTTTTTCAAACGTACTTTAATGTTTGGTAAATTCCACACCAAAATATAAGAGGGGAGATTTGCAGGCACATCAGATATCATGGAGATTCCCATAGGAATGAATGGACTTCCTGTTGCCTCGTCTCTGTACACATACGTAAGTGGAAACAAGGCGTGAGTTGACAGTGAGCAGTAAATCATTGGAGATCTTGAGCAGAGCAGTGTCAGTGCTGAGTTAAGAGCAGAAACCTGATCTGACTTTCTCAAAGATGTGACTGTTGTTCATAAAAGAATTCAGTTGATGAGAGACGACTGTTTCTAAAATCCTAGATATGAAAACAAGCAGCTTAGAACTAGGCCTAAAATTACTTAAAATGGAGGGATCTACAGAGGGCTTCTTTAAGAGGGGGGCACAGTGATGTAACCCTCAGAGCATTAATGTAATATTTTCCCTGCCCTCTGTCTGTCAGGCTGATTGTCAGTAAGAAGGAGAGGATGCTGGTGAAGGGAACTGGTTTTCACCTTGACCTCCTCATCATCGTGGTGGTGGGTGGAGTCTCAGCGCTGTTTGGTTTGCCCTGGTTATCAGCTGCCACGGTTCGCTCCGTCACCCATACCAACGCCCTCACTGTCATGAGCAAAGCCGTCGCCCCCGGAGACAAGCCCCGCATCCAGGAGGTCAAGGAGCAGAGGGTGACAGGCTTCCTGGTGGCTGTTTTAGTGGGTACGACTGTCACCGTAGAGTTCTACTATCAACCATCATTTATTCATCACACTAAATCAGACAAGGTTCACCTCAAGCTGTCATCCATCAGCTCCTTTAACTTCCTCACTGTAGTTCAGTCCTTTTTATCGTCTTCTTCCATCAATGCTGCTGCTGTTTAACCCTCCGTCTTTCTGGATGGTTCTGATATCCATGGTTATTGTCCACACATCCCGACTTCAACAAGATGGCCTCATGGTTGCTCCTCCTGAACACGGGCAGCGCTCTGCAGCCACTTCTGAGCTGTGGACAGTAGTGATCCACAGCAGGAACAGGACAGCAGCTCACATTCACACCATCACACCAGGCCTTATTAAAGCCACGCCCCCTCTCCATGTCTCCCAGAATCCTCTGCTCCATCAGATCAGCTGATAGAAACAGAGTCACCTGGGTGGATGGAGCTGTGCAGGATTTAGTTTCCTCTGACGTGGTCCCCGTCTGTCCTCAGGTCTGTCCATCGTGATCGGGGACGTCCTGCGTCAGATCCCTCTGGCGGTGCTGTTTGGGATCTTCCTCTACATGGGTGTGATGTCACTGAACGGGATCCAGCTCACTGAGCGACTCATCCTATTGCTGATGCCCCCAAAGTACCACCCCGACCACAACTACGTCCGCAAGGTTAGCTCCGCCCTCTGACCTTGGACAAACACATCAGCCAGTTCCAGAGGTGCTGACTTGAGTTGTATGACGAGGACTTGACTCACAGCTCCGGTGACTTTATTCTTCATTTTCCATACAACAGATTATCTGTACTACAGTACTATGACTAATGCTGACAGCAGCTGTCAGGAGACAGGAGGGACAGGTGAGACAGAGCAGACCAGCAGACAGACAAATGATGTAGACTTGTTGGGCCTGACTTGGAACAAAGACTAAGGACTTGTGTCTCTTGATTTGTCTGTCTCTCTGTGTCTCTGCTCTCACAGGTGCTGATGTTAAGGATGCACCTGTTCACTGTCGTCCAGCTGACCTGTCTGTCTCCGTCTCACCTATCTGTCTCCGTCTCACCTGTCTGTCTCACCTGTCTGTCTTACTTATTTGCCTGTCTTTGTCTCATCTGTCTGTCTCACCTGTGTGTCTCCGTCTCATCTGTCTGTCCTCCAAGGTGCCTCTTGCCTGGGGCGCCCAGAGTGTCTTGAAACAGCTCTGCCTGTATGTGTTACCTGTCTGTCTCACCTATTTGTCTCACCTGTCTGTCCTCGTCTCATCTGTCTCTCTGGGCCTCTGCTCTCTCACAGGTGCGGACATTAAGGATGCACCTGTTCACTGTCGTTCAGCTGACCTGTCTGTCTGTCCTGTGGGTCGTCATGGCGACGGCGGCAGCGCTGGCGTTTCCCTTCATGCTGCTGCTGACCATCCCAGTGAGGATGCTGCTGCTGCCCCGCCTCTTCAGCCGGAGAGAGCTGCAGAGTGTGAGTCACGCCTCCTTCACAAATCCTGACATCATCATTAGCACAGGGTGGACGACGTCTGCTAACATGGCTGGTAAAAGTTAGCTGGTAACAGTTTGCTGGTTAAAGTTAGCTGGTAAAAGTAAGCTGGTTACAGTTAGCTGGTAACAATTAGTTGATTACAGTTAGCTGATTACAATTAGCTGGTAAAAGTTAGCTGGTTACATTTAGCTGGTAACAATTAGTTGATTACAGTTAGCTGGTAACAATTAGCTGGTAAAAGTTAGCTGGTAAAAGTTAGCTGGTTACATTTAGCTGGTAACAATTAGTTGATTACAGTTAGCTGGTAAAAGTTAGCTGGTAAAAGTTAGCTGGTTACATTTAGCTGGTAACAATTAGTTGATTACAGTTAGTTGCTAACAATTAGTTGATTACAGTTAGCTGGTAACAATTAGCTGGTAAAAGTTAGCTGGTTACAGTTAGCTGGTAAAAGTTAGCTGGTTACATTTAGCTGGTAACAATTAGTTGTTTACAGTTAGCTGGTAAAAGTTAGCTGGTTACAGTTTGGTTGTTACAGTTAGCTGGTAAAAGTTAGCTGGTTACAGTTAGCTTGTTACAGTTAGCTGGTTACAGTTTGCTTGTTACAGTTAGCTGGTAACAGTTAGCTGGTAACAATTAGTTGATTACAATTAGCTGTTAAAAGTTAGCTCATTACAGTTAGCTGGTAAAAGTTAGCTGGTAACAATTAGTTGATTACAGTTAGCTGGTAACAATTAGTTGATTACAGTTAGCTGATTTCAGTTAGCTGGTAAAAGTTAGCTGGTTACAGTTAGCTGGTAACAGTTGATTACAGTTAGCTGGTTACAGTTTGCTTGTTACAGTTAGCTGGTTACAGTTAGCTGGTAACAGTTAGCTGGTTAAAGCTAGCTGGTAACAATTAGTTGACTACAGTTAACTGATAACAGTTAGCTGGTAACAATTAGTTGACTACAGTTAACTGATAACAGTTAGCTGGTAACAATTAGTTGACTACAGTTAGCTGGTAACAATTAGTTGACTACAGTTAGCTGGTAACAGTTAGCTGGTAACAGTTAACTGGTGACACTTAGCTGGTAACAATTAGTTGACTACAGTTAACTGGTGACACTTAGCTGGTAACAATTAGTTGACTACAGTTAACTGGTGACACTTAGCTGGTAACAATTAGTTGACTACAGTTAACTGGTGACAGTTAGCTGGTAACAGTTAGCTGACTGAAATAAACTGAACTGTTGTCTGACTTCTGGTCTCTGACCTGTGACCTGTGGTCCTGTAGTTGGACGCTGATGATGCGGAGCCTCACCTGGAGGAGAAGGAGGGGCAGGACGAGTACTCACAGCTGCAGATGCCTGTGTGACCCAGTAGCAGCCTTCTCATTGGTCGATCCACCTTCTTCATTAGCATATCTGACATGTATCCTGTAGCAGCGCTGGGCAGGTGGACTGAACACGTCTGAAATCTGTTTTTATAGACCTGACTGTGTGTTTTTGGGGAGTGGGTTTGTTTCTGCTGCTGAGAGCTGAAGTCTGTTTCCTGGTGTCTGTCTGCTCGTCTGTAACTCACCTTCTGTTTTAAAGATCACGCTGACTGAAACATGCCTTGTTCTGTTTCTCTGTCTGTCATTAAAATGCACATTTTATCTTTAAACATAGATCTTTGCAGTTTTACTTGCACATTATGAGGTAGTCATTGTGTAAGCCCCGCCCATCAGGTTATGTCATATTCACTGAGGGGTGAAGCGCAGTATAAACATGCTCACAAGACTGTATGTGCACATGCTCAGGAGAGATGGCTGCCAGCTGCAGATCACGGTTTGAGACCAGCAAACAACGAAAGCGCTTGTATTTAAGCAAGACGTCGGCAGAACTTCAAACGGTGATTGTGTCACTAAAACCAGGTGTTTTTTTGCGAGACAGTGGCAGTGTTTCCAACTGCACCACCAAAAGCAGTTATTTTAAGCCAAAACCAAGTGTTTTTTTACCTAAACTTGTTGACCACAGTGTTGTTCAAAGTTTTAACTAACAGTCAAACTTTCATTTACTGTGAGTTCAGTGGAAGATTAAATGAACTGGAAGACATGAAGTTAATAATGACACATTTCTTCAATATTTTAAACAAGATGATTTTTTAATTTCATCTTTCACAGTTTCAGAATAACAAAAAATAAAAAGGTCCTGAAGCCAAAGTTTGGCCCCTACATGGTCAGTGCTCAGTAGCGCCCCCTTCTTCTAAACCCTGTTTGTATCCAGCTCAGAGTCTCTCAGTTCTTTCTTCATGCTCTGCTCTTTGAGCTCTGTCCACAGATGTTTAATGATGTTTAGGTGTGGGGACTGTGAGGGGCGTGGCCTAACCTTCAGCTGGCAGCGCCGACATTACTGCAGACGCCACACTAAACCACCGATCCATGTCACGCTCCATTCTACCCTCACTGTGAACAAGACTCTAAGATACTTGAACTCGTTCTCTTGTTGCAGCAACATTTGCTCATTATGGTCTGTTTGACCTTCATCCGTCATCAGGACGTGTCTCCATAAAGCATCAGGCTCTGAATGTAGTGGTGAGGACACAGGACAGGTTTTCTTCTGATGACTCTTCCATGAAGCTCATACCTGTCCAGGTGTGTCTGCACAGTACAACAGTGCACCACCACTCTTCCTCTCTCACACAGTTTTCAGCTTGACCTCCACACTTCCTGTTAACGTCCAACAGCTCCCTGAAAACACTTTGCTATCTTCCTCTAGTCTTCATCAGGTCTCTGAGTGTTCAGAGTGCAGGCAGCTGTTTAGAGGAGCCCATGGCTGCTGAGTGTTGGGACAAGCTGTCAGGAGTCACCTGCTCTGTCCTCACCATCACTGTCAACAAGAGACCCTGGGGACAGCTGTCTCACTGCTCAGCTGTCTCACTGCTCAAACTTTTGGACGGTGCTCTTTTCATTTTTTTCACTTTGAAATTGTACAAAACAAAATGAACACACTGATGTTGATTAAAATACAAACATTGAGGAAATGTTGCATCTTTACCTTCATGTCATTTGGAGATCAGTTCATCTTCTACTTACAGTAAATGAAAGCTTGACCAGGGGGGCAAACTTTTTCATGACACTGTTACATATCTGTGGTTTACAGAAACCTACAATTCAAACATTTATACTGATGCTTCCATTAGTCCAAAGAATGTGTGCTCCATAGCCACAGTTTGTCTCTGGACTGCACACGAATGATGTTGAACATCCAGCTGTCTGTTGGCTGAAGCTGCTCACTTCCCCTGAACAGATCATATAGTAGTTACATCTGCCTGTCTGCAGCTTCATCATTAGCTGCTATAAAACTCCATCTTGATGGCTTCGCCCCCGCAGTGGAAGTCCTTCACCTTCAAGATAACTGATGGATCCAAAAAGCAGCTTCAGAACTCAAACAACAACAACAACACCAGCAATCAGCTGTTGCTGATTTTCACTTGCCCCCAGATTTTATCACAAAAACAATTCAGACATCATTCAGGCAGCAACAATCCCAGAAACATCTTGCGAAATTATGGCGGGATTGAAAATATGATATGTAATACATGAATTAATAAAAATGTTTGTTACCATCAACCAAAGCTGACCTTTCATCCGCAGTGTTCCTGCGTACATGACATCAAACTCGGCAACTCGTGAAACATTTTCTGAGTTGTTGTTTTGACTTGAGGTGGATTGTTTTGATTCTACAGACACCACATGAATGCAATGTTCATTATGACATATAAACTTCAGAGGAGACAAAAACACAGATGTCAGTAACAAAACAAAAACTCCCTCATTATAACACTGCCAGACTGTCCTGAAACATCCCACCAGACTTTGATCTCTTCAGTTTTTGATAACCTGTTTTGTTCCAGCGTGTGAGTCAGTGGGATAAAACCTTTGTTCCCAATAAAACCAGCTGCTCTGATCACAGATACCAGCTGCTCATTATGATTTTAGTCATTTTAAACAACATGTCCTTTATAAAGATTTCTATAAAATCTCAGCTGTTCAGGGACCTCAAAAGAAAAACTGAAGTTTGTTTGAAGAACTTTCTACAAGACGTGAAATGAAAGCAGAGAAAAGTGAGAGCACTTTTTCTCCACCCTCATTATTATTTGTCTGACGCAGCACTTTTAATTTATAACTTTACAACAACAACAATCAGCTCTGATGATCGAGCTGCTGTTAAACAGCTCTTTCCCAGAAACACATCCTCAGTACTGACGGAAGTCTGTCAACCTGAAGAAGAAACGTGCACTCAGAGCTACAGTGAAGGTAAAGTCTGCTCATGAGTATTTTATTCAGTCAGTAACAAACTTCATGAAGTCGTAATGTTCAGTTTGAGCTACTGTGTTTTTAATGTTTTTATCCACAGTGAGGACAGACTTCATTGCAGGGCTGCTGCATTCATTTAGCTCAGTGTACTTAATAAACTGGACACTGACACATAATACAGTACATCTTGTTGCATTTTATTCTAATGAGAATATTAAGATAACTTAGTTTATACCCAAACATATATTTATGAATCAATAAACTTTACTTTAGCAAAACGTTTGAAGCAAAGAAACAAAATTCTGCCGGGATCCAAGATTGTGATGATTTTTTTTGGGCAGAACGTCGACAAACAAAATGTGGTCTTCTGTTTTATTACTGATCATGAAGACGTGTGGAATCAATGTTTCAGACTGTTGTAAATCTAAAGTTCTCAGAGAGTGAGGTAATGACTCAGAATATAAACAGAAGTACCTTCAGTTAGCTTTTTAATATATAGTCATGGAAATATTAACGTAGTCACCTGATCAGCGGACCCTAATTATACTTCCTGTTTCTGTAAAATAAACCAGTGTAAAACATCTTCTACAAAACTAAAACTTCTCTCTGTAACAGACTGGTGATTAAAAATGTTCCAGCGGTTCATCACTCTGCTGTTTCTGCTCCTTATGGCTGCCTGTTCAGCTCAGAGCACAGGTGAGTCCACAGGTGAGTCCACAGGTGAGTCCACAGGTGTGTCCACAGATAAAAGGGGATTTATGGTTGTGCGTAGACCCACAAGCCTATGGCATTTTACATTGTATAAATTAGCCTAGCAGCTAGCAGACTTTTCCTCTTCTCATATAAAGCCAGGGACAACAGCAACATGTAACAAAGGTAACGGCACACAGTTTGGCTCCATTACAACTCACAAGGTTCACTGACAAAACTACTGTCTTATACTAAACATGTTTTCCAAACAAATACAACATGCTAACGTTATTAGCACAAGCCTATGGCATTTTACATTGTATAAATTAGCCTAGCAGCTAGCAGAGATTTTCTCTGCTCATATTTCAGCCAGGATAAATCACACACAGTGTGTGGAGGCTTTATTGTCTTCACAATTTATTGTTTCTTATCTGTGAAATTAAAGTAAATCAAAGCTTTGTTTCCACTGAGGGAAATGGTTTCAGCTCACAGAGACAGACAGGAGGTCTGCGTCACTGTGACGCTGTGGAGTTACATTTCTGGGGAGGTGCACTTCAGGCTACAGCGTAGGCTTGACGTAGAGTCCACAGGTGGGCCTACAGTTTGAGTCTACAGACTACCATATTTTTGTGTTCCTGGGGGGTATTCCAGTATTTTGTGGCTGCCTAAAGACTCACCTGTGGACTCACCTTTGCTCTGTGCTGAACAAAGAGCCACAAAATACTGGAAAACCCCCAGAAACACAAAATATTAACTGAGCTGTGTATCCACAGACAAAGTGTCTGCCTGGTATTTTAACTGAATTGATTAACATATAAAGACAACACACATTAATCAACACGTGTCAGTCAGCAGGATAAATATATACTGTGGCTGATTATATCGGATATCTGACGTGAGAGTTAGCGCCACAGTGTTATTCACAGTTCAATCTGTTTGCTATATAATGTTGATGTTTTGTAATTAACCCTTGCTTGTCCTCAGGGTCTGTGGCCACCAGCTGTGAGGCGTGTCACAGACTGGCTCGATGCCGCACCTCCCTCCATGACAACAGTGTGGAGACTGTGGGCGTGTTCTGCTGCTGTGAAGATGGTTTGGTGGGAGATGGCTTCACCTGCTACAACAAAACCACCTGCAACGATGACTGCTGCGGCAAAGGGTACCGCTGGTTGCCACCGCAGGGCTGCATGGACATAGATGAGTGTTCTCTGCCCCATCCTCCGTGCGGTCCTGGCCTGATTTGTGAAAACACACCGGGCTCCTTCACCTGCCTGCTGACCCCTGATCTACAACCTCACACCAACACCGAAACCAAACCCCGCTCAGTGACGTTTGCCTGCGGCGGCACACAGTGCCCTTTCGGTCAGGACTGCCTCCAGGTGGAT